AACCCTAGTGGGGCCTCGAACGCTTCGGCTCAACTCGAGGTCCCAAGTTCACCAGCAAAACCGTCGCCCGTCGTTACAGCATCCAGTCCCCAGACTCCAATATCCCATTAAATAAGGAATATACCTTAAGTCTTCTGATGGCTGCTATTATAATTAAAGGCATATAAGGAATATACCTTAAGTCTTCTGAGGGTTCCATTATAGCTTAAGGTATCTTCCTTAATTTAAGGGGGTTGTTGGAATCTCTGGTTACCTGCTCCAGCCTGCGTTTGCCTAGATCTTGTCTATGGTTCAGGGTTGTACCCCAAACTCTTCATGCGGCTTAGGGGTATTTAGGGGTTTAGGGTTAATTTAGGGTTGGTATTATTCATAATCATGAACCCTACAATGCCCTACAATCGAACACCCCAAAGCCCCAAAGCCTGCATCCAACAGAAACAGTAGAGACAAACACCGTCTAAACCCTGTGCCCACCGTCGCTGCAAGTGCCGAGTTGTTGTGGAGCCGCTCCATAAGACGGTGGTTGTCCTCAGCCGAGTTCAGGCTTTGGGGCTCTAAACCCTAAACCCTCCTGAACCCTAAACCCGTAAACCCAAAACCCCTCAACCCTAAACCCCCAAGCCCTAAACTCCTACACCCTAAACCCTCATTTTTGAACCCTAGTAAACCCTGAACACTAAACCCCAAGCTCCAAAGCCTTATGTTCAGCCCAGCAGCGTGGTTGCCCAGGACCCAGTTTCCATGACACCACTCCTGCCGGGAGATCACGCTAACAGGCTAAACCCGAAACCCTAAACCCAAACCGCCCTAACGCCTAAACCCTAAACCCCTAAACCCTAAACCCTAAACCCCTAAACCCTACACCCTAAGCCCTAAACCCTAAAGCCCTAAACCCTAAACCGCTTGGCCCCGAGTTTCAGGGTTTCGAGGCTCTCACGATGATTTCTTAAGCTTCACCTGAACCCTATAAAACCCACCTTTTAAACTTCTGTCTGGTGCTTAGTAGGGAATGGGGGAATGGGTTATAGGGACTACTATAAGGGACCTCAAGGGACTAGGAATCCTAATGAGAAGACTTGAGGTATATTCCTGCATTAAGGGATATTGAAGTCTCTGGGTTTGCGAACCCGGATTCTAAAAGGTGTAACGAGGCCCGGTACCCTAAACCGGGTTTAGGATTCCTTAGGGGTGTAGAGTTCAGGGTTTACAGCCCTACACCCCAACCCCCTTTGCCCTGAACCCTAAAACGGAGGACAGACCAGAAGGAAACCTTGAATCTCTTAGCTAAGCAAGGCACCTCTAAGGCGATGAAACTAGAACCAAGGTCTTCATGCTGTCCGTTGCAGTGGCCTCTGGATGTCCTCAATCCAAGATCATCAACCTTATCCTAAGCCCTAAACTCCCTGAACCCTAGACAGTACCTCTACACCCCAAAACCCTGAACCCTAAGGTGTCGACCCCGAAACCCTTTACAAAAATGGCTTTGGGGTTTGGGTTTAGGGAGGTTCCGGAAGTAAACCTCAGGGTGGTGCAACGTCAGGAGGATTTAGCGCTTCGGCTGAAGGCCCGATAACACCGCATGAGATGCTGAAAACGCCATATCAAACCCGATAAAGCCCCGAAACCCCCCTCATGAACCCTTCATAACACCCTGTACCCCCCCCCCCCCTTTCTACGAAACTTTTATGAAACCCTATAGACCTATATGAATCCTCTTTATGACCTCATATTGCAGGGCCGGATTAAGACGTCCTGAGATGTAACCAAGAGACAGCAGCGTTCTTGGTAGGGCTAATAGGGTTTAGGGTTTAGGGTTTAGGGTTTAAGGTTTAGGGTTTAGGGTTTAAACTCCCTAAACCCTCAACTCCCACCCCGATCTCCGGCAGCGCTTGCGAGTATCTCTTCACAGCAGAGCGAGCGACGGAAGCAAGCCGCAGGTCGTTGGGTTTGCCGTAATCCTCTAGGGTTGAGGGTTTAGGGTTTACGGTTTAGGGCCGTCTAGGGCTTAGGGTTTAGAGTTTAATTAGGGCTTAGGGTTTATGGGTCTTATGGCTCTCCCGGCATGTGTCGGTGGGATTCAGGGTACTTGGCAAAGGGGGGCAGAGGAGTGTATGAGAATGCAAAAGGGTACCGGGTACGAGGAATTGTTTGAAGTTGCAAAATGCTTCAGAGGAAAATGGTGCGTGAGTCATCGTGGGGTCCTGACTAGACTACGCAGATGGTCTACATCTACAAATGCCTTTAGTCTGAAATTATTAAAAGTAGATATTATGCCAATGAGAATATCACAACAACTCCAACTACTAGGGTTTGGGGTTTAGGGTTTAGGGTTCCTGCCCTGAACCCTAAACCCTAAACCCTCAACACCCAAACCGTACCGGGAGACCTAGGGTACCAAGGCGCCGGGCTTTGAGGCTCAGGCTTTAGGCTTCCAAGGCCGATGGTTTGGGGGGGGTTCAGGGTTTAAGGCTTTTTGGGCTTTTGGGGGTTTTGGGGGTGTTTGGGGTTTTTGGGGTTTTGGGTTTAGGGTTCAGGTCAGGGTTTACAGGTTTTGGGGTTTAGGGTTCAGGGTTTACAGGTTTTGGGGCTTAGGGTTCAGGGGTTAAGGTTTTGGGGTTTAGGGTTTTGGGGTTGGTCTGGTACTTTAGGGTTTGGAGTTTGAGGTTTCTGGTTGAGGGCTTCCGGCTGAGCGTCTGAAGTCCGAAAGCAAGCTGGAACGACGCGACCTGCGGATATCTTCCGCCAAAGCAGTACGATGATGATTATTACCATTATTATGACCATGACTATGACTACGACTATGACTCTGGCTCTAACACTGACTCTGTGACTAAGTATGACTATGACCAACAATCGCCGAAGCCGAAGGCAGGCACAAAGCCTAAATCCGGGGAGAACCCCGAGTAGCACACCAAGCCATCAATGGAAAACCCTGAAGACCAATTCCTCGCTCTCTTAAGCAAACGAACCCCCCCGCCCCAAACCACAAAAAAACACTTCCCACGTCGTCCTGGCCAAGAACCTGCAGGACATCTTAACTTGTGGCTCGCAAGGAGGATTCACCAGGGCGGAGGGAGGAGTAGCGATGATTCATGCTGACCACCGAACAATGCAGCATAGACACAACACAACCGTGACCCTCCTGCAGCGACCGCCCCCCGCCCCGATGCTGGCGCCTGCCATGCTTGGCATCAACATCAAGATGCTACGCATCAGGTAGGCACCAGCACCATCACAGCAACAGCAATATACCTGGAACAAAAGAAGTATGTATGCGCTCCTACGAACAAGTACAGACCAGACAAGGATAACAATCAGAGTGGCAAAGCATGGCAAAAGAATCAAGGCATAATCAACAGTACTACGATAGAGGCACAAGCCTATTGCAAACCACGAGACATCTCAACTCTGCGTATTTCACACGAAAAACAAGCGAAACCAATAATGAGCATGTCAAACCAAAATGGCAGTGAGGAAAATGAGATTCATAAACCCTGGGACCATCAAAAGGGGACGATCAAAAGGGCTTAAATCCACAACTTTCACTCGCAACAAACATGATATTCTTAGGAACCCCTCGGGCTTACAAACGCGGTTCTGTAAGAACACCTTGAAACATGCCTTCCAGGGCCTAGGGTTCCTGCATAGCCTGTTGAGAAAGGGATCTATAACCAAGGGGGTCCATACAGACTGCTATTGTGGAATTGGGTCCCCAAAACTATGATCATAACACTGGTCTGTTGGGACCGAATTCCATAATGGTAGCGTCTATGGACCCTCTGGGTAAGGGTCCAGGAAACAGTTATAAGATAGAAGACTGAATCAACACATGGTTTGCTAGCCTTGTGAGGCAGGCCCCTATATGCCTTTATGCGACTGACAAATGCACAGAACAACCTCCACGAAGCCATAACACCTGCAAAAATAACACAAGTCATAAAACCCTAAACCCTAAACCCTAAACCCTAAACCCTACAGCTCTCTCTAAAGTCTCTATAAAAGGTGCATAAACCTGCCTTATATAAACACCACTACCACGCCCAGACAAACAAGAAAACCTTAAAGCAACGCCCTGAATCAAAAACCCTAAAGCCGAAAGCTAAAACCGTAAACCCTAAACCCTAACCTCTAAACCCTAAAACCCTCAACCCCAATGCGGATGAGCCCTACTTGGAGGATCATGGTACTTAGTAAGTCCTTCAGGGGGTTCCTTCAAGGGATCCTTAGAGGGATCCTTAAATGGATTGGTAAGGGTTCTATAGGGAAGGGGTCTGGGACTTAGTAAGTCGGGTTGCTAGTACCATAATTGGGGCTATAAGTAGTGATACTGTTCATGATATAAACCCTGCATTACTTCAAGGACTCTAAAATATGGGAGTTATGGTATATTCCTTATTATAGGTGATGCAGGACTTATATCATCAACCCTGAACCCTTATATAACCCTTAACCCTAAAACCTAAACCCTAAATCAAATCCTAAGACCCTGAACCCTAAACCCTAAAACCCTAAACCCTAGAAAAACCCTAAGCCCTAAACCCTAAACTCTAAAACCCTAAAACCCGAAACCCTACGTCCCACGATCCTTTAAGTACCCATAGGCCCTAAAGTAGTTCCGTTCATATATAGAACCCTATAAGGTAATCCCAAAAAGG